TCCTATATTTCACATCTCATCCTTCAGACGCTGCTTTTCCCTGATAGCTTCATTTAACTCCGTTAGCACCAGTGAGATCCCTCATTGTGCTTCAGGACAGTTCCCATTAATATCTGCACATGGCCTCCTTCCAGTATTGGCCTTAACAGTCAAATCTGTAACCATCAAGCCACAAACCCAGGAGCACGTTCTGTAGATGTTTATTTATTCTGTTACCATGCTTCCTTGCATGCTGTACAGCCTTTGTTTCTACCACAGTACATGTACATCCTTCTGCTAACATTTTTGTTGTTCCATCTAGTCATAGGCAATGAGGTCATCTTGTCTGACAAGTTGCATGTCACAGACCGTAAAGGTACATACATGCACACAGTATTTCTTTCAAGAAACTAACAATTTTGTCTATGAATGAGAACAAATCTTTTTGACAGATAATCTTTCAGCTTCCCGATGTACAATTTTCAGCTTCTTCTGAACATCTCCTAGTATGACTTTGACTGGTTTTTCACACTGCTGCACTGCAAAATCCCAATTAATTTATCTCCCCATACAGCTGGCATCCTTAAGGCCCCCATCATCAGTACCCAAGCTGCTGTGACATGAAGGGCAGCATTCCCTTCCCCTGCAGGGCATAGAGGCCAGCCAGACCTCTCGGGTTTCTGCTCTCTGACAGTGTCAACCGACAATATCTAGGTTTCCTTGTCACCCCTAAGAACGGAAGAGACTTTACAGCTAGAACAGTGGACCAGTCAGATACACACAGGACAGAAATTAAATATGACTTATCATTCCAGGATATACTTTGCTTGAGTATTTCTGATTTTTCAGGACCTCATATTGTTTACAACTATTGAGTGTTTTCTTGATTATGTTGTTTCTGGCTTATCTCTCTAGAAGCAAATATTATTTCTAGACTTTTTTTTTTTAATGAAGCATAGCATTTGTACAAAAAATGTCTGTTTTCCATGAAAAATTTCAAGGTACCAATACTAATAAATCACAAATCTTCAAATTTAGAACCAAGCTATCTAATGCAAATGATTCCATGTCACAGTGCATGCTGGATTTCAGACAATGGGAACATGTTATTTTCTGTGGGCCATGTTTCTCACAGAGTCAATCTGCCAGGATATGCCGGGATATGCTGTGTCTTTCAGATTTCCTGTGGTATCGTGTGATCATGATGTATGGTCAGAGATATAGCCCTAACATGATGAACCCAGTATATAGACAAAAGGGGAGGACTGAAACACCTTGTCTATATTTGTGTTTACATACTATGGCAGATAAACTTTACAAATCCTGCCGTTTACAGCTGTAGTTACTGTAATGCTGGTGGTTTACTATCATGCAGGGTCAGTAATTCTTTTGGTTAGAATTATTAATTTTCACCCAGCGGTTACAGCGGTTGGAGCTTGTAAAATAAAATGTTGCAGACTTTAATTCTCGCACCTGAGTGGCCAACATCATCTCTTTTGTTTTTCTTTTCATCAAGCAAACCTTGCAAATCTGCTGTAACTTATATAAAATGGAGGCTAACATTTCAAGCAGAAACACAATTCACATTGAGGTCACAAAAATTGAGTCGTCTTTTATAGTCCTTGCAGCCCATCCAAACTGGATCCCTAGTTGGTGTTTGTGCAGCTTCCCAGTGTAATTTCTGGCTCAAGATTTCTGAAAGCAAAATTAACACAAGTCAAGACTTGATGCATAGAGTAACTGTGGTGGACTCTTCTAATCTGGAGAACAAGAGGAACGTAACTGTTGAACATGACCCCATCAAGGTACCTTCATAGGGTTGAGGCCACAGCTTTTGCATCAAGGCAATAGCTCTCCTCCCACTGTATGAAGCAGTTTGCTTTCCTTCCTCATTTTCCCTCTCTTTCTACTTCTACTAAAAGAATTAATTTGTTGAACTCGGTCACCATCAGTGCTTCAGAACTGCCAAGTCTTATAGAAATGTATTATATTTTGGGTGCAGCACAGTACCTGTGCTATGTGACAGGACAGGCTTACATTAGATGTCAGTACATTATTCCCGGTGGTGTAGGAACTTCTTCCTGCATGGAATTTGCTGAGATGTGTACTGATTCAAACTTCATTAGAGAAAAGATGCTAAAATCTGAAAATAACAAGAAAAAAGGCTATGGTCTTTGAGAATGATGTTCGTTGCTTTGTTTGCATTGGATCTTCTGTTCGTGGGCCATCTGAGAAACCAAGACGGGCTTGTAATTCTTGCACTTTTCACATCATGTCATCTCTGTGCACCCAGTGTATGCTGTGTTCGCATGCATCTTCCAGGGACTCCAGCGCTGAGTGTAAGCAAACAGCCTCCTCTGCTGGTTATTTTGAATGAACAGTCCCGTCTTCCCCTGACACCCAATGTACCCTTTCCATCACACACTCAGCCTTGCCTAGCCTGGGGCACATGAGTTTCAAGTCTCTCTTGCACCTGATTCCTCTTTGGACATCAGCATTCAGAGCTGCCGCTTGCTATTACTGCCTTAGGCCTTCTCACATCTAAATGGATTTTAATGTCAACTCAACATAAGCACAAGTACATAAGGAAATGATGTATGGAGGTAAAACACAGAATGCCATCCCTACAAAACCTTGAAGAGTTTGTCACCTCTTCAGTCCTAAGGTAAATACATAAATAGTAGGAAAAGTAGTGGAGCTGAGGAATATGCAGTAATGTAGAGCTGCTAATCAAGTATATTTTGAGGTCAGTGAAATGAAAAAGTCTTATTTTCAGATTATTGGCATCAGGTCACCTTATCTGATTCGAAATGTGTCTATGCAGTAGTATTTGAGGTATTTATTGTAAGCATTTTCTTTATGTCAAGGGTGTGAATAATTCCAGCTTTTGCAACAAATGGTGAGGCTAGGAGAGCTGGGCTAGGAATCACAAGAGATAAAAAGACTAGCCAATGGATGCAGAGAGCAAAATCATTCATCATTCAGGCTGTGGAACTGTAATATAAGTGAAATCATACTTCTTTCACTAGTGTTTTAGACACAAAGCCTAAATGTTCCTCTGACCATACCTCAGTTCTGTCTGGTTAAATCCTTCCAGGAGCATAGGTGAAAAAACATAGCTTGAACTTACCTTCTGCAGTCAGGTTTACCATGGATAAGGATGTTTCCAAAAAGATGATGTTGTTAAAATTGTACTTTAAATAGAACAATATGAGGGTAAGCATCTGAAATGTGATCTTTCTAAAAAAGGTGGGGTTTACTTGCTTTTCTTGGTTAAAGAAATGTAAATAAGCCTTTGTTGATCCTTTAAAAATATCTGTTTAAATTCATCATCCCTTTATTCCAACATGGCCATTTATCTGACAGGTTTGTACTATAAAATGAAACAGCTTACTATCATAAGTTAAGACTTGCATCCAGCTTTCCATAAAAGAATGATGAATAGATCCCTGTACTCACTCATACACACTTTTAGTTATCTTTATGCCTGAGTCAATCCTTCCATCAGGAAACCTAAAGATAGTGCTGACCTTTAAAAGGATACCTGTAAAGATTGAATTGAGCAGGCTTTATTATTCCTACAAAAACCTGGAATTCTTTTGTGTTTTCTTCAGCACCTTTCCACTGAGTCTCAGCTTATTAGCTGTGACAGTAGGTCAGGCTTCTCTCCTTTAAATAACACTCCTGTAGCAGTGATTTGCAGGGAGCATATACATGTTTACATTCATTTTTCAGCTTTCCTTCTTGCTGCTATTTTTAAATTCAGTCAACATTTGGCTAAAGAAACAGTCTTATTTTGGGGTTCCAGGCTCCAGATCCACACACTGTATGCAAACTGTTGAGGATGTGAATGAGTAAATGATGACATTCCTAGTTCTTTCTACTTCCCATGCTCAGGTTTGGCTAATGCATTGTCAATGTCCTTTTCGTCCTTTTCTCTTTTGACAAATGCATTTTCTGCAAAATACCAGTTCTGCCACAAGGGCTTCAGTTCAGTTGTGTGACTTCGACTTTGTTCTGTTGTTTAAAAGGTATTCAATTTAAGCAATGTCTTCAGGCTGAAGCATGGAGCTTCATTAGACATATAGGTCTCAAAGCTGCAAAATAATAAATCATCACATTTCTATAGCATGTTTTATCATGACATTTCAACTTCCGGTGCTAATGAATTCATACTGGAAGTTTTTGTGAAAATCTTTTTAACCCACTCAAGTGGCTTAAAGGGCAAAGATCTACTTTAAAATACTTTCCTGAGAAGTTTACTCTTAGTTTCAGTGGAACCTCAGGCCAGCACTGAATGCTTCCCTTTTCACTTGTGTCCTGTTTTCCATATTACACAGGGGTTTCTAAGTCTGAAATTTCAGACTAACTTTAAGGTAACTTGATCCTGTATGTGAGTTCTATTCCCCCATCTTTCCTTCTAAAACCCATGATACTAGTTCTAGCTTTCACCACTTTCTAGCACCAGTCTCCGTGTTCATGTTCATTGAGCTAAATCAGAAATTGGTCCACTTGAAAACTAGCTTGAGAAAAAAGAGAAGAGACCTATTTCCTGTTTCTCTGGCATGAGTCACACCAAGGTAATGCAAATGTCAGAGTTGGGCAGTCAGAGCTGAGCAGCAGCAGTGGCTTGGGGCAGACAGAACTGACCAAGTAACCAGTGTCTCCAAATGACATTTATTTAAACACAAGGGAGGAAAAAAAAAAAAAAAAAAAAAAAAAAGAAGTCACTTCCAGAATGAGAGTCTGAATAGTTTCACAAGATTCATTGTTATTTTCATGTGCAGATCTACTATTTATCAAGCATCATTTGGATTTAGGTTGAATACTGGAGCATTTTGTAACAATCATCTTCAGAAATAAAAATTAAAAAATAAGAAAGGTAGCATTAGGAAAAAAAGTGGTTTGTTTTTTTTTTTTTAATCTGCATCTTACAAGAACTTTAATGTTTCCAATATTTTGCTACTGAAAATCCCTCTCCACTGTTTTACACAAGGTATTTTTTATTCTCCTTTTCACAGATCGAATTGCACAGAATATCATTAAATCTCATTTGGAGACATGTCAATATACAATGGAGGAACTCCACCAGCTAGCATGGCAGACCCACACATATGAAGAAATTAAGGTTTACCAGAGCAAGGTACAATTCTGTAATATGCTTTTTCTTCTGCTCCCTATGGTTTGAAATTGTTAACAGAGTAATATATTTGGCAAGGATAGGCTGATGAGTTTTATACAGGTCAAAATAGGTTTTTAAATATCTTTGAGGATCTAGTTACTGAAAGCAAAGGAGTGATGCTTCATAAAAAGAAGAAACAGCTCTCCAGCATGTTGAGATGTTTGCTAATGTTGAAGATTAGTCATGGTTACAGAACATAGCTTTCCATATTTTACTTGCTATCACAGGTCTAAACTTTATGCAAAAGTTCAGAAAATAAAACAACCTAACTTTGTTTCCTTATAATTTTGAAAACACACCCCCTTCTTATGTGAATAATAAATATGTCACTTATAAACAATAGAGAATGACAAACTGAAAGCACTCCTTAAATTGAAATTTTTCAAAACTGGATAAAAAAATGGTTTCATTACACTACATTTTTGTTCTACCCCTGTGATTCTTAGGTCAAGCTCAGATTATTTCCCACTGTCACCTGTTCAGATGTAGTCCAATTGACAGAGATCTTTGTGCCTCTTGTGCCATTATCGCTGGCAATGGTTTTTCAGTCAGATTTCAGCTGGCAGATTAGCTGATCACACAAGAGACAGAAGAGGCTCCAGCTTGTTCTTTGAAAGCTGAGGGGCTATGCAGTACTAGCAAGGACAAAAACACAACACAGTTTTCAGAGCTCTGGCATGCAAACCAAGAGCATCCATTTACATTTGTACACTTATGTGTGCACACTTGTGTGTGCAAGAAAAATTTTTATCAAGGAGACATAATTTTGATACAATCAGTCTTCAGATTGCAGCAATACATCAGTTACATATTAAGTTTCAATCTAGCAAAAATATTCTGTTGGATAACTTATTAGCACTGTGACACTTCTTTCCCAAGAGTACTCTGGGATGTTTACATTGTTGGTGCCACTGTTTATTGTCTCACACAAAATTCGACAGTAGAATGACATTTTAACATTGGACAATGTCTTCTCCCCCTTAGAAGAGGCAATTCTAGAGTTCAGATCTCTGGGGCAATCGGCTTGTGAAAACAGCCTTCTAATGAAAAGTGTCAGGTACCATGAGATGCAGAGATGCTGCTAGCTCTGCCTGGGGATGGGGGCAGAATCTGAGGAGAGAGCCTTTCTGCAAGCCCACATGAGGAACCTAATGCACAGATAAAACATCTTGCTCACTACTTTGCTTTTCCATGTGTGTTTTCCTGGAAGACCAGAGAAGCTCTGTGGCAGCAGTGTGCCATTCAGATCACCCATGCTATCCAGTACGTGGTGGAGTTTGCAAAGCGCATAACAGGCTTCATGGAGCTCTGCCAGAATGACCAAATTCTCCTCCTTAAGTCAGGTGGGTAAACTCTGGAGGCTTGAGACTGGTTTAGCACCCAGAACATTAGAAATGTGCTCTGCTGTCTTGTTCTGCAAATCATTTTAATTTTGAAGGAGGCCTAATTTCAGTCTGTTTCATTAGCTACATTAACCCTTGCATATTTTTCCACATTAATCGTGTTACTGCCTTCTGATCCCCTTCCCTCTACAGTCAGTTGTGGTTATTAAGTACACACATCCACACAGGCGTTGCAGAAACTGCAGTCTCCAACCTGACATGTGGTGGAAGGACCCTGCAAATTGAGCTGGTCAAATCAGTCATCTGCCACCCTGTAAAATCCCCACTTGTCATTAGTGAAATGAACGCAGGCTCACTGGGGCCTGCCTCTGTGGTCATCTCTAATCTTTTTAATGAGACTACAGAAATATCCTCCAGCCTGCGCACAGGAGGGAAAATCCCTGCTGGTGCCAGTTGGTTTCAGAATAAAAGAGAGCGGATTACAGCAGTGTGCTCCGGCCGTGCTCTCTGTGCACGCCTGGGCGTGCACATGTGTGCATAAGGGCAAGGGGGGAAAGGGTTTCCTTCCCTGTCACAGGACTCAGTAATTTCTGTCCTCCAGAAGAATCATGACAAGATTTATTGTGACTATGTAGTAATACCACCAAACTCAGGAGGACAAAATGGTATGACCAAGTGAACCACAACTCGTAATTAACTGCGTTTACCCTGTCATCTCAGTTTCTTGCTCCCTCCATGTGTAAAAGGCAGGATGCTGTGTGAGTCAGCTCGTTAAAGCATAAGAAATGCTTCTTATTTCAAGAGAGAGCTCTTCATTAAGGCTGAAAGCCAATGTGATTCGGAGCTCTGTACACAGAGGGTTGTGGCTCGATGTGGGGCTGGACTGACACAAATGGGCACAGGTGCCAAGAGAAGAGATACAGAGAACCTGGGAACTCACAGGCATCCTCCTGGAAAAATGGAGTTGTACTATGAGAACTATTATTTTAAAGTTCATACTAATTTCAAAAATTCTGAGGTCGTCAGTGCACTCCAAGTAACGTCCTTCATTTGGCTGGCAAAGTTAACAACACAACTGCATCTTCAGAAAAACATATTGTTACATTTGACTGTGCTGTTGGACAACTCTGTTTAGCCTCAGCGTGTATAAATATGTCAAGTTTAATTATCAGTTTTGCTGTTAATGCTGAGCAGGAGTTAGAAAATCGGGACTTTTCACTCCAAAGCATGTCTGCAAAAGAATCCTCATCTTTAGAGTTCCTCTTACAGGAGATTTGGATTTAGCTAAGGGATGCTTAAAATTTTTCCCTTGATTTTCACAAACTGTGTATTTCTGCATTTAGGAAATGATAGGGAAAGACAAGGAAGAAAGAAGGGTTCATTTGGCTATTCCCCAACCTGAAAAAAAAACAAGGGAAACAAAAGTGAAACCCAATATAAGGGTGTTCTTGACAGTACTTTAACTTTTATTTTCTCTCTAAAACCACTTTGTGATGTTCTCTCCTTCCAGCCAAATGAAGCTGGGATTTATATACACGTTGAATGAAACTGCTTTTTTTACAAAAAAAAAAAAAAAGTAGTAGTAGTAGTAGTAGCAGTAGCAGTAGCAGTAGTAGTAGTAGTAGTAATAATAATAATATAATAATAATAATAATAATAATAATAATAATAATAATAATAATAATAATAATAATAATAATAATAATAATAATAATAATAATAATAATAATAATAATAATAATAATAATAAATAGTGATAGTAATAGTAATAGTAATAGCAATAGTAATAGTAATAGTAATAGTAATAGTAATAATAATGAATTTAATTATTAAAAAGGGGTTTCAATAAATGCCTGATTTTCAGGTTAAAATATTTCAAATTGAAAATATTTGCCCAGGTCTAAATTGAGATTAAGTCCAGACTGCCAGTTTGCTGCAAGAGGGGAAAATCAACCTAAAGAAAAGGTGGTTAGGCTGGATCAGGAAATACCCCTTTCTATATTCAAAGCAGACAGAAATATTTTTTCTCATTCAGAGACATAACATCTAGATGACTTCGGAGTGTCTATCCCTGATAATGTTTGTAATGACTGATGTATTCCTAAATATTTTATTGAAATTTTCTTTATTCTGATGTTTTGCAGTAATGTGTGGTACTTTTGCTCTTTTATGTGTCTGATAGGCTGCTTGGAAGTCGTTTTGGTGAGAATGTGCCGTGCCTTCAACCCACTCAACAATACTGTTCTGTTTGAAGGAAAGTATGGAGGGATGCAAATGTTTAAAGCCTTGGGTATGTTGGTCTTCTTCTTTTCAACCAATTATAGAGTCACATAGTGACAGATTTGTCTTTCTGAAAATCGTGGCTCACAATGAAATTGTCCAGTAAATGTTGAATCTCAAACCTCCAAATCTCTAGACTAGAACTGAAAAAGAAAAACTAGCTGCTAGCAGTGATAGGTGTTTTTCTCTAACAAAGATGAGCAGCATGAGGATTTTTCAGATGGATGTCTTTGTCATCTGAAGCTTTGATAAAAAATGAGTTTATGGCAGCAGCCAAGCAGTTTATGTTCACAGTTCAGTTATGCTTGATATATCAAATCACTCCCACTAATTGTGTCCTGCAGAAGGCAATTTTAGCCCCAGCAACAAGGGGACTAAAATGATGAACTACTACAAAATATGGACAAGGACTTACCTAAAATACTGTTTTGCCTAAAACTTCTAAGCTCATATTGATTCATGTATTGAAAAAATTGCTTCATTTCTCAACATGATATCGAGTGCTACCTGAAAAGTTAGTATCTGAATAGATGTGTTTTGCCCATCCATGACACTGATATATTACCATAAATTTATTCAGGACCAAATTCAGAGAGATATTTGCTTCAAGTGTATATATTTATCATATGGGTATATATTTTTCTTATTTGCATATGGATAAACATAAAACTACTTTACAAGTTTAAAGCATTTAAGAATGTACATTAGTTGATTTGTTTTGGTCTTTATGACATTTTCACAAATTTTCATAAATAATTGTACTGTTAATAAAATTATGTATGTGAAAACTATTTAGGACTGGACATTCATATCTTTTAGATTAAATATCTGTTTGGAAATAGCATTTTTTTCCACATTGCGAAAAGAAAATTATCTTCTAAGATATCTGTGTAATTTTTGTAGAGGTCATGCCCCTAATTCTTGATAATTTATGTTTTCCAGTTGGTGTTTTATTTATACATTTTTGGGGTAGGTGGAATTTTAATAGCCGATGAAAGACATTTGTTTTAGAAGTACAGACATTCACTCACAACTTTATTTGACACCAAAACAATACACTTTTCATGGCAGGTTAAAGAACTGATAAATTGTTAGCACTGATTTTGTCCTCTGTGGCCTGCAGGTTCTGATGATCTGGTGAATGAAGCGTTTGACTTTGCGAAGAATTTATGTTCCTTACAGCTGACTGAGGAGGAAATTGCCTTGTTTTCATCTGCTGTTCTGATATCACCAGGTAATTTTTCATTCCAAACACCGGAATTACTTTTTTTTTTTTTTTCATCCTTGTCCAGCTCTATTTGTACCTACTTAAACAGCTGTTTAGGCTGTGTTAAGCAATGGAGGAATACCTGAATTGCCTGAATACACCTCACTCTGGTTTTGGTAGATTGTCAGGAATTGCACACACTAGAAAGAGATTCAAAGGGTGGGGGTAACATACATGGAGCAGGGTTGTGCACACAAGCAGTGCAGGCTGGTGTTCCTCCAGACCACGTACAGAGAAACATGGTACTCAATGAAGTATGTGCTCCTCCTAGCATTTTCAGGGAGTTCAGACCTCACAGCCCTGTGCAGATTATATAGTCCCTGGCTACAACAGGCTTTTTCTGTGGGTATATGAACATGAGCAGTAAAATCTGTATGAGGTCCTGTCTGAATTTAGCTCCAGGTGAGAGGTGGTGATTCCATGGGCAACATGCTTTTTTTCATGTATTCATATATCATAACTCTGCACAGGCAAGCATGAATTCAGTGATTGTTGTTTCTCTGACCATAGAAAAGAGGATTTAATGACTGAATTGATTGAGAAAATTGATCTGGTAGATAAGCTCACAGTTCAGTGTGGGATTTTTAAACATGCCTCAGGGGAGGTAGACCCCCCAGTTCCCACTAAGAGTCACCTCTTGAAAGGCCTTTTCAAAAAATCCCATCATGAATTATTTTTCCAACCTGTTCTCCTAAAGGCTTCCTCTAGGTCACTTTGCCCTGCTGCACATCTGTGATGGAGATTATGTTAGGCAGAATTAGACTAGCACAGATGGTGTCAACACGTTCATTCTCAACATTAACGACACCTACTGAAATGACTCTGCTCCTTTTATTTTCTCGTTGAGTAGTTCTTGCAGTCATCTGCTCAGAGGTGAAATGGTTAAACCAGTGGCTCTTCATGGTGTTAAGCCAAGATGTTCTAGAGAGGACCCTCCAAACAGCCACCATTTCCACCTCAGAGGTGTCCCAACTCTGCGCAGGGGTGAGAGCTGCCTGTGCGCTTCCCCCTGATGCTCTGACTTCCTCTGAGACTTGCAGTGTCCTGAAGGGTCCCTGGCCATCAGACCTCTCTCCATCTGGAAGGAGCACAGCTGTGCTCCTGGTTAACATTAGGGGCCTATTTAGAAGACCATCTCGGTGCAAAGCTGAAGACAACCTGGAAATTTGTTTGGGGTGTGGGCTGAGAATTTCTTCATTAAGATGTTAACAGACACTGCAGAAGAAGGTTTCAACGTTTCCAGACTTCAGTTATGAAGCCAAGGGAAGCAGGAAGAGGGTGGTGGGATCCTTGTAAGCAGGGCCTGTATTTCTCTTTTGTAACAGCTGAAGGTGTTTTTACTCTTCCGTTTGTTTTCCCACAATTAGGAACCGGAAAAGTAGGAATTAGCTGAACACAGAAACAGTAAGATCATTTCAAAGCTGACTTCAAAGCACTTTGAATCAGATGAGGCATCTCATGTGTAGGGAGAAAGAATTCAATTATGTAATTTTTATTCAAACAAAATTTTATTCAAACTGTAATTTTTATTCATGTTTCTGTCTCCCATGTGATCTTGGGAAGGAGAACAAGTTGTAGCCCTATTCAACACAATACGATTGCAGAAAGCTTCTAGCATCTCAGAGTGTCCTGTTCCTTAGGCCAGGTTTGGGCAAAACCTATTTAAGTAATGGAAAGCTTCCCATTGATTTTAATGGATTTTGCATCAAGTAATTTATGAAATGTGCTTAGCTGCAGGTAGGTATAAGATGGACATCAAAAATTAGATTTATCTCTGCAGTTCTACATACGTCCCTTTTATTTGCAAAGCACCAAAATCTCTTGTATTCTGCCAGCAGTTCATGGTGTCTGAGTATCCACACTCATTTCAACTTGTAGCTGCACTGAGTCCTTGAAAAAGCTAACAACTCAGCACTGGTGTTGAGCCAGCTGTATTGCAGGCATGTGCTGTAAAATCTTCACCATTAACTCTAGCAATGCATTTCAGTCCTGATATACATCAGTCCTGATACAGCCTTTCAGAGCTGATTGTCTCCTGAATAACAGCTTCTGTTTCTGCTAAGTAACAGAGATACGTAGAGGCAATTCCAAGTTTTTTTCACTATAATAAAGCTTCAGGATTGAAGGTGGTGTTATGAGATGAAATATTTTAATAAACCACAGTTTCCCATTTCACATCCAAGTTGGCTTTTTCCTACTTGCAAGCAAAATGACACATACAGTGTCTCCTATTCCTTTAACAAAAATAGAAATAAAAAGTGCCTGATACATGCTGACAGCTTATTTCTGTAGTCTATGAGCATGTGTATCATTAGTTATAGAAGATGTAGTAAGAAAGAAGTTATGGGATGCAGCAGCATGTACATTAGTGAAAGCAATCTCTCTTCCATAAAAAGGCTGCAAATTGGGATTGTACACATAATTCCCATTTCAGCTGGGCTGCTAAGATTGGGAATGAGAAGGCAGGGAAAATCAGTACAGAAGGAACAGACATTGAAATTTGCCATTTAATTTCTTACAAAAATGGTAACAGTAAACAGTAGAGAAATAAATTATTTCCTTCCACACTAGAAGTGTCAGTTTCTTTACAATAAAGCATTTCTTTTGGGGAACACTAAAAATTAAATGTAAAAATAAAAAATGAAGCACAGCTTCACAGAAATACATGCACCAGTCCTTCCATCCACTAATACGTGTACACTGAGATTCCTTATGGGAAGTACACAAAGCCAAACTTCTTTTCTACAGAAGCCACCATCCCGAAAGGTGATTCTCGTGCCCTTGATCTGAGTGTTTAGGTAGTTTACAGGAAACAGAGCAGTCCTATTGTGAGTAAGGAGACCTAAGGATATCCATTAATACAATTGCTATTTTCCATCTGATTCAGATCACAAATATAGATTTTCCACTTTAAGGTGAACGTAACCACTCTGCTAGGAGGTGATTATTTAACTTGATTTCTGATTTCAAAAGTTAAAACATTGTAGAAGGAGTTCAGTAAGGGTTGCAGAGGAATCTCCACCTACAAACGCACCAGAGCCAGGTGATAAGACACTAACCTGGCTGCCCACTGTGTACAACTCCCTCTTCTGAAATTCTGACTGCTGTGTTCCTTTTTTCCATCTTCCTTCAGCAAAATCAGATCTTGTAAGCTGTCCCTCATCTTCTTTCCTACACTATACTCTAGCCTAGTGGCCTGTGCATTCTTTAAAGATAAACAAGTTCAAATTCCAAAAGGAAAAGTATAGAACTGAACCACTGCTTCTCATATCCTGTATGGGTAACCACCTATTTGACCTTTTCCTGCACTTTTGTGAATATAATTAGAGGTACCTGGGGAATTCCAGCCAAATCTGTAAATGTTTTTCAGCCAGGAAAACAAACTTAATATCTGTTGTAAAAGTTTCACCTAGCTCCTCTCATGAATTTAAAAACTCTTATGTTGTATACAGCACGCTCCATATGACTGATAAGTGATTAAACCTGTCCTCCAACAGCCTATTTTTAAGATGATTCTTGTGACAGGAAGATAAATCTTTAAAGATTTCTCTCTATAATAAATCTTTTTAGTTCCAGTCTGCCACAATAGGCCTTGATTTAACACTATTGAAAGGCATGTTTTTGCAATAGTATAAAATTTGGCACCTAATCTGTGAACTCTAAATCTTACTGTGTGTTTACTTATTTGGATGCTGCGTGTGCTCTTACTTAATTCTGTTTCTATGGCCATAGGTGGCACAGTATCTATTGGCTTACTTTATGGGAGCATGATTCTTTAAGCTTTGCAAAAAGAATATTGTCTTTTCCTGTTTATCGGTTAAGTAGTTAGAGGTTTGGTTTTGTCTCTTTTCACAGTACTTGGTGTTGGATAGTTTTCATACACTCCTCTCCACAATCAGACAAATGGCAAAATCCTATTCCTCCTGTGATTAAATGCTATCCACCTCCAGCCTCTGTGGCATGTGTGCTCAGTGAAATGTTTGACTTATACTATTTCTATGGATTATTTTAGAAACTGGAGTGAAGGTTCATGCCCTGTGATAAAATAGCTTTCCTTATTTTCTGTTTGAAAGCTGAAATCTATACCCAAGATCTGGTCTGGATTGAGGGAGAGAGGGAGGAAGAAACAAGTTTGCAGCATGGGAAAACAGAAGGTTTAATGGTGCTGTAAACACACTGTATTAACGGTTTTGGGATTGTCTTGGGGTCTGCTACTTCTCTTTCTCTGTTTGTCTCCAGGAGCTATGACTTGTGAGAATATAGATCTTAAGGAAGACCTCCCACACTTGGGGTTTGAGTTCAGTAGAAGCCATAGATTTCCAAACAACTGCATCTGTAACAGTTATTCTCCCAGATAATCTTTTATTTTGTGTTGTTTAAAAAGAGAACATTTTTAAATCATGAGAAATTTGCACTTCAAGACATTGCAACAACTAATAATTCTTTTGAATTATTAAAGATTTTCTTTTGAAGGAAACCATTTCTTTTTGTTCAGAATATAATATTTGGTCTCAAGTTGTTAGCCTAGTAAAAAATCAAATATATTTTATTTTAATTTTAAAATACTTAAATCCTATTATTTTCAAATAAATGTTTTGATCAATCTGTTTATTATTTATGTATTAAGACACTGAGATAATGTGACATGTTTTTCACCTAGCCAATATGAAGTTAGAAGAAAAACTGATTGTACAAACAGAGAATAATATAATGGTTGGGCCTTGTTTCATTTCTACTCCCATCTTTAACATTCTGGCTTAAGCAAAAAGATACAGAGCCAACACTGTGTTCCTGTACATTTTGTTAATTAAACTTTCAGGTGATCCTTTAATGGATTAAAATACTTCCCCTCTGAAACTAAGTCTTAATTATCATGCAGTCTTTCCCCTTATGAATTATGACTGCTGTGACTGCTTGCCAGCATGGGACACTGAGTTCATCCATGAGCATGCCCCACATCTGTGCATTCTTGACTTTTGCTTTTGTTCTCCTTTTTCACAGATCGAGCCTGGTTGATAGAGCCAAGAAAAGTCCAGAAGCTTCAGGAAAAGATTTACTTTGCACTTCAACATGTGATCCAGAAGAACCACCTCGACGATGAGACTTTGACAAAGGTAAATTGTTAAAATGAATAACTGAGCACTCCTTGATCATGGCTCTAATTTGTTTATTTGTTTTTTCTTTTTCAATTTTGTAGCCATTTCTCCACATATTGCCACATTAACGTAAGTTAAAAGCAGCATACTATGTGCTTGCAACATATAGGTGAAGTAAGGCTCATTTTGCTCTTGTCCTTGGTTCCTCTTACTCCATTTTTTGTTCAATCCACTAATCTTTTTAATTGGTACCCTAGCAAGAATGAGATTGCCTTAAAAAAATAACCCTGGAGGCAGTTCCTTGTTAAATCCAGATTTGGCACTTGCCTAAAATTTCCAGGACAATGGTTTTTAGCCTCTTACAGTAAGAACAATGTCTGGTCCTTTGGATGGGTAGTTTTGATGGAGTTCAGAGCATTGCATTCAGTTACCCAATAAGCTGTTAATGTAGTTCATTTTGGAAACTGTAATTTATACTAAATTTACTTTCTACCCCTTCCTTTTCTTTTTATTTTAATGTCTCACAGTTAATAGCCAAGATACCAACCATTACTGCACTTTGCAACTTGCACGGAGAGAAACTACAGGTATTTAAGCAATCTCATCCAGATATAGTGAACACACTATTTCCTCCATTATACAAGGAGCTTTTCAATCCAGACTCAACCACTGGCTGCAAGTGAAGGGGATAATAGAATTTTCATGTAGTCATGGAATGCGTCACTGTTAAGACAAAAAGAAATGTTTTCATGAAGAACTTACTAAAAATGTCACTACTGCAACATTAGGAATGTCCTGCACTTAATAGAATTATTTTTCACCGCTACAGTTTGAAGAATGTAAATATGCAACTCTGAGTGGGGATGTCTTTTTTCTCTTTTCTTTGTTTACTTTTTTTTATTTTTGAACTGACAATGAATATACAAATATAGGACACTGGGTGTTACTTTTTTTTTTTTTTTTTTTTTTTTTCTATTGGGGAATGTTTTGGGAGACAACTGTTCCTAGAATTTTATTGTAGATATACATGAGAATAGAGCAGTACTTTGCAGTATTACTCTTGCTGTTTATTGTTCAAATATAATTTAAGAAAATTCCACTTATTAGACTTGCCTATTTCTATGTTTCTAGATAGTTTAATGCATGTGGAAATTTGTAGCTGTCTTGGAAATTGGTGCATGTATGGAATACACATATGTATATATGTGGTATATACTTTTATATATATATATATATATACACACACACACATATATATATATATATGTAGGTATTACATGCATACATGCTGTAGCTTAAAAATCCCATGCCTACTTTTAAAGGATGCTCAGCCTGGCTGTCATGCATTTCTTACTCTCCAAGTAATATATTAGATTTAGTTTGGGCAATCAAGATTTGCTTTGCCAGTCAGAGTTAAATCATCAGCTGCCGATGTGTAATGACAGGATCACTTCTGAGATATGTGTAATGTAGTGCCTGTGTGCAGTCTGTAAATCTAACATCAGGAATGTATCAATGGTGCAAAAAGCCTTGTCTGGATGATTTTAGTGGAGACAAGAAAAGTTTTTTTTTAATTTTCTCCCTGTTACAGGGATAGAACATATATAAAAGTAAACATTGTAGGACCTGATGTCAGTAAAGTATCTGAAACGTGGAGTAAAAATGTAGACTATCCCACACGTACATTTTTCTGATTTAACACATGATTATGCTTTATATACACTTCTTTGAAAAGTAGTTGCAAGACTTGGTTTGTTTTTCACTGAACTCAATGATAAAACACGCAGTGAACTCAGTAAAAACCATAGGAAGCCTAAAATGTAGCTCTGAAGGGTAGTAGCAGAGGGAGGAAGGGAGGGAAGCAGGAGGAAAGTCAAAGTAAGCAATATCCGTGGTTGCAAAGGCAAATATAGCTGTCACTGTTTCTGACATAGCCATCATCTAGATGGGATTGATGATTTCCATTACACACATCCATATATGTATGTTACGTACACATGCATATATGCATGCATCTGTATGTATATAACTGTATATATATACATATATAAGGTTGATTTTAGATGCACTTCAGGAGGGGAGCAAAGGATTGAGGCTTTCTTTTTGTCTGTCTGTGAATTGATTTTATGTGCATTTGCTTGCAAAACCAAAGGCAAACACAGAGGGGAGTGGAAGACTGCCATGGACTTAATCTTGTGGATTAATTAAGTTTAATTAGCAGTCATGATTAATGTGTTTGGATTCTGCCAGAGATACAAAACACAGACTTTTTAGCTATAGAAGACAGATTCAGTTTCTGCGACGGCTCTGCCCTTACCGCCACTTTTATCTATTGTAAGCTTTTTTGGAGAAGTCTCGTCTGGGGACACCCATGGCGGAAATAGAGCAGAAATAAGAGGAAGTGGACACTAGAGAAGAAATGAAGTGAAGGCAGAATCACGAGCAGGTGGATTTATTTCAGATCATGTAGAAGTCAGTGCACTCTGAGGCAAGGCAAGGTGGAGCACACTGTCAGGGAGGCCGAAGGACCCACTGTCTGCCAGGCTGCGCAGCAGAGCGGTGTCGCAGGGAGCCCACGGGGAAACAGATGGGCCCCGGGGCAGGGACAGAAACTTGGTTTGTTGCATGATAACTTAATGCCTCCAGCTTTTCCAGCAGACTTGTACAGCTCTGGTCTCAACCTTCTGTTCCCTTTTCTGCGTGACCAAGTAATTCACAGGCTATTCCAAGTACTTTTTGAAGTTTTCCCTTGCACTCCATCAGCTGGTTTTCAATTTTACATATTTCATGACAGAATACAGTGTAGACAACATCAACATTAGTTTGCTCTGTTTTAGTAATGCCAGACCAGACACAAGACCAGTTATAAACTCTCAGCTAACAAATGTTTCTCTGCAGGTCCATTACAACTCCAAGAAGAAAAAAAAAAACAAAAAAAAAAAAACAAAACAAAAAAAAAAAAAACCTGCACATCAAAGTTACTTGTGCTGAGAATTTTGTTGCAAACATGACATACTCTTCAAGATTACTTAGTCCTATAGAACACCAATTTCTAAAATACCTTTTTTGCTCCAAATTCACAGCACGTTTTCTGATCTTTACTGATTACATTAAAACATCTTCAATTACATAATAAAGCATTGCTCTTGATGCTTCTTTATACCATCTGAACCCTAAGACTGGCATTCCCTTTTAAAGTGATTCATCTGCTTGCAGTCCCTTTTACATGGCAAATCCATGAAAAGGACCCCAAACTCCAACTCTCTCTAATATCAAAAAACTTCATTAACAATATTTATGTACTACTCCTGTGAATTTATCTGAGAAAAAAATATCAAGTCAAACTGAACTCTATAAGTGCTCAGTTTTAACTGCCGGTGATTCTTGTTTTCCAGCTGAAGAATACACACATATATATTTGTTTCAAATCCTTTATAAACTTGTTTTCAGTATATCAAAAGTAACATATTTAGCCAACACACAGAAATACAGAATATGTGATAAATATTACTGTTCTTAGTGATGACGTTTGTCATGTTTATAAATAGTCCTTCACAATTAGTGTTACATCTTGAAAATGTTTTGTTCTTTTCAAATAAGCTATTCGGTCCTTCGGATTTTTGATTTATGTCTTAGGCAAGATAACCAAATGAAGATCACCAGTGAAAAAGACATTATTTAATCATTATCCACAGGGCTTTTAATCCTTAAAGCACGGTTCTTAAATCACTGCAACCTCATGACCTTTTCAATCAGTAAGGATTACTGCCACTTTTTAAAGATGCGGAAATGAAAGAGAAGAAGTTAAATGACTTGCCAGAGACCACAAAGGTAGCAGTATCCAGTCCTAGGATAAAAATTGATTCTTGCTTTTTGTCCTAAAAGTATTAAGATGCTGGTATACAAAATCTTCATTGCCATTGATAGGCAATAGCTTGTATGAACAATTACAAACATTGCCAAACAAATTTTTATCTTCAAATAAGGTTAATTATCAATAGCTTGCTTACTACTTTTACAGAATTTGAGCAAATAACCTTGGTTTTTATTTGGAAAATAAAAATTAATTCTCATACATTATTTATTCGTGGTAACAAAGGCTGATAAATTTTATTTCATTTTATGTGATTTGGGATTGGTCGGATAGGTAAAGTAGTGCCTCTTTTGCCTTCCATTGGCTGACTTTAGAACAAAAATTAACAATCACATGATACAGGCTGGATTTTTGTTGCTGATTTTGATACATAATCATTTATGCTCAAAATTTCAAAGTCTTGATATTGGATTTAATATGTTCAAGTTATCCATAAACTTTAAATAATAGATTGAATTTGAGTAAATAATTGCATAATCCACTCAAAAAATGCATTTCAGAAAATATTAGTGCTGCACTTTACTTCTTCTTGGCTTTCATTAGTCCACAGTAATATCTGAAGCCCTTCAATTAAACCTCCAAAACTGTGATTTCTCACATCTACTCTCTGTAGTAACTGGTTGTGTTTGTTGATTTTTTCAGTGACAAGCTTTTCAAATGGGACACATTTTTTAATGATTGATTAACCTGGGATCTTTAACAAAAGGATATTTAAAACATGTATTAAATCTTCTACTTCTAGCATTTCTCTCAGATAATTCAACTACATTTATCTAAATTATCCTTGGCGTGAAGGAAGCAGATGTAGGCTGTTCATTACACTACCACAGAGACTTAATTTTGGTGTAAATGTGACTCTTGCCAGCTCTTTGTATAAAGAATTAGTTCCAAGAGTCATATTTCCTTCTAATGGAAAGACTGCTTTAGTGATTTCTGGGGAAAAAAAAAAAAAAAAAAAAAAAAAAAAAGAGAAAAATAAAAAAAAGAGAAAAAGAAAAACAGGGTAATAGAAGGCACTCAGTTGAGCCAACTAGTTTCCAAAAGTAGTGTATATATTTTGATTGATTTGTGATAGCCAGCATTTAGGAATTGATTCTGCAAGTTGTTAGGCTCCCTTAGTCCTAACTAGAGCCACTGAAAATGGACGCATGTCAGCACCACACAGGATGTGCTCAACACCTTGGTGAGCACCTTGGTGTTGAGGCCCGCTTTGAGTTTTGCAGAGTACAAGTCAGGTGTTATTCTCATACTTGCATATTAATACTTTTGCTTCACGCTTCCCATTGTTCATTTCAGCTCAGTTTCACAGGGATCAGTTCATTCCTCCTGTTGCATCTTGGGTGCCAGTGTTGTCTCAGTGCTTGTGCCAGGTTATGGTGCTCCAGGTGGAGCAAATACCAGATGTGTCCACGAACATGAGCTTTATTATGTGATTTTCTTTGTTTGTTTTCATGGTGGCAGCTTACACAGGTGTACATTTCCCTTTGGGATAGTTTGCAGGGATTCCTGACGTAACAACTTCTACACAAAGAAGGTGCAAAGACGCTCTTGTGCACTGCCCTCTCAGCCTCCAACCAATGGGCTGTGGGAGCTGCCCCAAGGCTGTCTCTCAAAATGGCCAAGCAGCACAGTTAGAGATGTGCAGCTGATGACACCTGTCCGTTGTCTTTTTCACCCCCTCTAAAGCAACGCTACAAAGCACATTTGAAAGTCTTGCCCCCGGATCCTCCTTCCTCCTGACTCTTCATTGATTCTGCTGTTCCCAGAAGACCTAAGGTCCAGCCTGGAACCTGGTTCCTATTTTCAGAGTCATTGTCTGTTGGACATCCCAGGAATATAGCACTGGGAAATAAGATCAAACTGAAACATGAAAGAGTTTTTTGTCCAAATAAGTTATGTCTAAGCACATACGAAATGGAAACCTGAGACAGAACAGCTTGCTTTTCTCTGGAAGTAACAAAATAGTGTATTTAGACCTACCAACTGCCCCAGCACTTTCTGCCTCCACTCTAGAAACTAACTCCTATCTCTGACTTCCATTAGGAACAGTGTGTTGGAAACCCAGTCCTCTTCTTTCCTTTTTAAGTTTCACGCTTTGTAAATGACAATCACTGCTTGACGCAGATGTTGCACTCTATGCCACTCAGGGATGTTTCATTACTAAAAATAACTATATAAATATAACAGTGATAATAAGGAAGAGAACGTTAGAGGCTTTGAAGGGCACGGGTTGAGCTGCCCAAATGAACGCAACCCAGACAAGGCTTTCAAGCCAGTGGTTAGAAGTAACATTGGTATAAACTGAATTCACTGTCGGCATTTCCTCAGCTCGAAGCTTTCCTCACTTAACCCGTTGTTTCACAGTCAGTGGAGCCCTACTGACCCATCAGTTTGTGATGTTAAAGTCCTTTTGGAAACAAAATGCAAGTGAGCTTTGTACTAGTTACTGAATTTAGAAAACTGACAAAAGAAAGTGCAGTTTAAAGGTACTGAGTTTAGGCACCATTAATGTGAGCTCATATTCAGAATTGCTGCAGGAATGTAAGAAGAAAGGTTAAGATGTAGAATGAATAATAGTATGTCAGCAATGACAGCAAAAGTTACACTGAGCTACCACATGGAGAAATGATTCTAAAGAGCAAGCAGTATAAAGTGGTTAACAGCTACCCTTTCCTCTGAGGGATGCACAAAATCATAGCTACCGCCAGGCCTCTGCAGCAATGCTTCTCCATGGTACAACCAGACTTTTTCTCACCTTAAACAAACATGACCCTATTTTATACTGCACTAGTGAAAAATATTCTCATTTCCTAGAATTCTGAAATGTGCTTCTGCTTATCCCTAGTTTTATACCTCATGTTTTCTATAGACCTATCATTAAAAGAACACTCAAAGAAAGGCAAATTGCAGTGGATTATATTGCCAGTCATTGGGTTAATTCCAGGTCTTCAACCAAGAGGTTTTCCTCAGCACTCAGTACAATCATTGCTCCTGGTCTTACAGTGAGTATGCATGGGGTTTGACTCCCTCCACCTTCTGAACTCCCTACTTAGAAGATAGGTGGAAGACTTCAAGAGGTGGAAGGGAAAGGCTAACATCCCTATGCTTCGAGGTTTTCATAATCACAGTCTTTGCCAACTACCCCATTGCAATTTCAATTTTAGCCTTTCAGGTTGCTGGGAGCCACATCTGAGTGACTGAAATTCTTTTAGCATGATACTTGCCCATTAAAAAGAAGAGTCTTCTGGCCCGAGGATCTTGCCTCTTTTCCTTTTCCTTTTCCTCCTAGCTCCTAACGAACGAGGCCTGGAGTGGTAAATGATTCATCTTGCTCTTTCTCAAAGCTGATCCTTAACTGTAGCCTGCAAGGGAGGCTCCACCCAAGAGGCAGGAAGCAGGTTCGTTCCTCCTTTTCCTCCCAGACTCCATGTTCTCACTTAGCTGTATTTTCCCTGCATGTGTTGTCCTTGCAAGTAAGACTGTGTGACAATGAGCTCAACAACTTAGTCATTTACCATCCCAGAAGTGGTTTGCAGCAGATCGCTTATCTATAAAACCCACTTGTGTATACAGTCTGCAGACAAATGCCATTGTGGAAAGAAGAGACCTAAAATTTCTACAGTGGTAGCTCACAGATCAGTAACTCTCCTAAAAAGGCAGCTTGAATGTCCAGTGACATGATGGATGTGTCAGTGTTCTCCAAACAATCCTTGCATTTCATTTGTGCTGAGAGAATAAGGCAATGCACAAAATGCTCTGGGAAAGGAGAGATGTTTCCTGGGTGTTACTACAGGCAGTGAGGATAATACTGCTCACAGTGAGTTCAGTAACATGATGTACTACATTTACATAATTTCATCATCCTCACAATTCAAGCACAGAACATAAGGAGAGTGAAAGAAAACATCATTGGATATAGCAGCAATAAATATAAGTGTTTCTTTGTAACTGTACCTGCAGAAATCGTTTGCTTTGCACGTGGTCTTCTGTACAATAACATAAAGAAAAACTTCATCTAATGTAGATATCACAGTGCTATTGCATATTTGTTGGATTCATTAGATGGAGCTGCTAATTTGTAATCAAAGATACTGCTGTTGAGAAAAACGTATGTGCTTCAAGAAAAGGCTGAAGTCCTTGTTTATGACTATACACTGGCAGCAGTAAAGTATGTTCAATATAAAACTCTGTCTGGACAGAATTTTAAACATCTCCTAGTTTTCAATATTATGATCACATTGGTCCCTTATTTGGGCAACAGGAATGCAACTGCATTGAAAAACAAGCAGGGCCAGATCAACCACAAAGAACAGGAAAGAACGGACTTTACCTTGAAGACTGTTCCAGATAAAACCAGCTTATATATATATATATATATATATATTTAAAAAAAAAAAAAAAAAAAAAAAAGCACTTATACTTGTCTTGATTAGACACACAGCTTAATAAGTCAAAGTAACTACATTAGGCTGTTGACTTTGGGGATTCAGATTCAGATGCACTACATTTGTGTTTTTTTAATGTGTCACTTCAGTGTCAGAATCAGGCAAAAAAGGTGTTTTGTTGTTAGTAAGAAACGGTAATACTCATTTAACCCTACAGAGTGTGGACCACACATTCTTGTGCAGTAGATGGGGATTTATTCATGCACTTATTCTTAAAAAGCCACTGAGTAGCATAGCAAGTGAACTAGCCGTGATAGTCTTTGCCTCTTGCATGACTGCAATGTGACCTCTATTAGGCTACAGAGAGCGGCTCTGTGATTGTACTTGTGGCCACAAATAAAGCACAACCTAACTCTAAGCTGTTATCAACACCCAGCTAAATCAAATGCATAGAGTATTTTGAGATTTATGCTAATCACTATGAGATAATTCCCATGTTAAACTAATTACTCTGGTTGTAATGAAAGGATGGTATAAATAAAATAGTAATCAGAATAGCAACAAAATCCCTTATTTTACAGCTGCACTCTCTGCCTCATCTGATTAAAGAAATTTACTTAAAAATTAAACAAACAAAACAAAAAGAAAGATACCTGAGTATGTATTGTAGAAATGTAGAAGACAAATAAAATATTTTTTCAAATGTAATTACTTTTAATATATGCTTGTGGAAGGTCTGATACTATGTATGCTGTCTCTATAATTTTTGCTGTAAATATCTTGGGACAGTGAATACACTGATTTTTTCTATGTCTCTGTTTAAGCATAAGACTTTGTAATGATTTTTTTTAAAGAGGAAAAACATCAAAGGGCAAATTATGTACTTGCTTCCTGTAAGTGTAATGTATTCTTCAGTTTTTATGGAAACTGATTGTAATAGATAAAGCCTTTTGACCAGCCGTTGATGTTTAGTGTATACTTCTGTTTGTAATGGGGAAAAAAAAGATGGGACTGTCAATGAAACATGATCCCAGTGAGTCAGTACAGTGAGTATTGTATTAATACCTGCAGACTGTATTTGACTAATTTGAAGAAAGGTTGCTCAAACAAATAATGTTTCCTTACAGCATATGGCTTTTATGAATCCTTCTGGCATGAATTATAATAATAGAAACATTTCTTTCTTTCCAATGAGCAAAATATTTTTGTAAGCCTTTAATTTCTTATTCAAATTTGAGGTCAGGTCACTCATTAGCTGAAATCCGAAGCCATAACTGACCTTCACCAAATACATGTTTTAAAGATCATAATAGAAAAAGAAATTATGTCCAGTTTATCAACAGCTATAATAACACAGGCAGGAGCATAAATAGCATGCAAAGTATTTGGATGCTTTTTCCGGCATCCCAATATGAATTTAATGGCTAGTATTTTATGATTACCAATTTATAAAAGAAGAAAAACATAATTAAAATAGATATTTAGATTTAAATGAAACTTTCTAATATTTTTGAAATATCCCTGAAAATGCTTCCTTGCTTTTAGGATTATGAGAGAAACTGATTTTTCATATACTTCCCACTTTCAAATATCTAATGTTTTTATCCTATTTCCAGTTCATTTTGTTAGAGTGAAATGAGATGTTAAGACCCAGATCTCCAAGCCCTGAGCTATTTGGTGCTTGGCTGTAGCTATATTGTTGTAAATCAATTTGATTTGAGTTTTGGGGGTGTGTTGTTTGCTACTTGATAAGCATGCTTGCCACTGTTGGTAACACACAAGAGTTGCATTGCCTGTCAAGAAGTGTGATAAAAAACAATCAAAATGAGACTCAAAATGAATCACTCTCAAAAGTTGAATAAAAATTCCTTTCTAAAATCAAATGCCTCATAGTCAACAGTGATGTTTTGGGTTTTAAGCTTAATTGTATAATAATTATGATGTATCTTAACTGGCTTGTAGATGCAAAAAACAAAACCGCAAATGAACCATGACATACTGGGTAAAAATCTGGCTCCATTCAAACCAACAGCAAAACCCCTCATCAAATTTCCATGGAGCCAGGAGTTCATCCAGCATTTTTACATCTGCAGTTTTCTTCTGATCTTTCTCCCTTGTTTAATATAACCGACCTAATTTATGTGTATGTGAGTAAAATTACAGCCTGATTCATTTAGAAAGTGACCGTTGAGCATTTTATTTTTTATCATGAATTTTGTAGGACCAGTATCCCTGTCAAATGAAAAGGTTCTATATTACTTTAGAATGTAATAGATTTTTGTCTTATTTTATGTCCTGTAAATTATTAGTTCAATACTGTTAGCATTCCATAATAATGCACACATGATTTTTGAATGTTTTCTGTAAATGACAATCAATGTTGATGAAGTTCCTTTCTTTAATGCAAAATTAAAAAAAAAAAAAACCTGCATAATAAAATAAATATTCTTGTGTGACTTTTTCCCCCATCCCTTTAAATTACCTGGATCTGTCAGGAAAAGTTATGGTGTGTGTATCTCCAAAAGAGAAGGTGTAAAACCAAAAACCTTAATGCCAGGAGTCTGTATTATTTTCAGGTTTTCTCTTAACCTATTGAATTAAGCTTGTTGATACATCAATGCACTAAAAGTGGCTCTGTTTTGCAGTTTAAATTAGAGCTACAAAATTTGAATATGCAAATTTCTTAATTTATTTCTATTTATTTGGGGGAAATAGCTAGTAGAAAAGCTAGTAGGAAAGCAAAACAACACAAGTAACACTTGCATGAAGGCAAACAGCACAGTAAAGTAACAAGGTTATCTGATTTAAAAGAGGATACTGTATTTAAATTAAATTTTAAATATATCAAATATTTTTTTAGTATGTCTAGTAATAATTAACACTGAAGGATGGAACAGAAAATTCTAGCTGTCAAAGCTGAAGACAGTAACTTTCAAAGATACTATCTCTTCATTTTAGGACCTTAAATTTAAAACAGGAGTAAATTTAAAAAAATAATATCAGAAGGCCATATTTTGCAAAATGTTAAGCACATACTTATAGAGTTACTGACCAGCAGGATTAATGCATACACTTAAAGCCAGCTAGATGTTTAAATGTTTCTTGCATCACAATGTAAGCAAGTTTGGGTTCTGAAATGCAGTAAGTGCAGCTTAGCATGACTAGATTTTCAAGTCCTAGATATTTAAGACTCATTAAATAATCTCAAACAAATATACTAGAGAGCTCATATATAACAGAGTTATATAAATAGAGTTATATAAATAGAGAGTTCATATATAAACATTTATATTTCAGATATTATGAAGTTGAACAGTTCACTAGCCATATGAAATAAATGGACTGTTATATTTACCTGTTGCAAAACAAGGAATCCTACAAATACGCTGTTGGTTTTTAAATATGTAGTGTCACAGTGTCAGAGGCACTAATTTTATACTAACCTGCATTTTTTTCAATTAGAAAATCAGAAGCAGTGATTTTTAAAACCATATGAACAGATTTTGTGTAGTTCATGTTTCCTTGCTGTTTTGCTGTCTTTGATATTTTAAGACTTTCTTGTCTTTCTAGACTGTCTGGCAAAAAAAAAAAAAAAAAAAAAAAAAAAAAAAAAAAAGTTTTAATAAAATATTCACTTTTCCTGAAAGACAGAAACAAATTTTCAGTGGTTCTGACTGACAAATAGCAGTGATCAACACTTTGTGAGAAGTAGAACATAATTTTGAAACACAGTTATATGAAAGACTTACAGGACATCACTTACTACTCTGCTGTGCCCATTAAATGCCAGTGTAAATGTCAGTGTGCCCAGGCCCAGAACAGATTTACTCCTATGTGTGTGAACTATTGTATACATTTTGCACAGTACAGTTTCTCAAAGGCAGATGGACTATTATAAGCTTTCAACAAAGACAATAGTGAAATGCATTAGACAAAACAACATGAAATACCAATAACTGTCTGTCCAAGGATTATATACTTACAGGTGTTCAATTAATTACAAACCCATGGAAATGCAGACTTCTGGATCATGATATATCATGGATGTATTTAACCATAATTTATCATGCACTTTGAGCACCATCTTTGTAACAGGAACTCTCATAAAATGTGATCAACATCCTAAAAAATTGTCCAGCACTTATACTGGATAAATCAAAACCTGGCTAAGACTTTTTCGGCCTCTCTCCCTTCTTATTCCTCCACTGTTCACCTCACTTGCCATCCCCAAGAGAAATCTTCAAAAAAATCCTTTGAGAAATGGATTGCAGGTTGCTTTGAGAGGACAAAGTCTGATTTATTCTGCTGCAGGTGTGAAATGCCTGTTCATTATGGAAGGCAGCTGTAATTTTGGTGTTATAGGCCATACTACTTTTCCTGGAAAATGCTTGCTTACCTTCTGTTGTGGTTTGAGCCTACTCAGCAGCTAAATGCCACACAGTCACTCACCCACCCTTCCCCCAATTGGGAATGGGGAGGGAATCGGAGGGGCAAAGGGAGACTCACGGGTGGAGATAAAAACAGTTTAATAATGGTAACAGAATAATACACTGACAGCAGTATCAGCGGGTAATGTACAATACAGCTGCTCACCACCCACCTGCTCCCAGCCAGTGATCCCAAACACAAAGCCACCACAGCCACACTCCCAGAAGTGGCAACCTCTCCCAGCCCACTCCTGCCTTTATATAGTGAGCACAATGTCACATGACATGGACTATCGGCCAATCCAGGCCCAGCCCTCCAGCTGTGCTCCCCCCGCCCCCGCACACAGGTGAGGGCACTGGGACCTGGGGAGCCCCTGGGGTCTCAGGGTGCTGCAGCTCCTCCCGCTGCCAGACCAACGGGAACTCTATTCCAGCCCCAACCAGGACAGTATCCACCCCTTATTCCATATCATTTTACATTATGCTCACGTTCCATATTTCTAATACATTATTGTTATTTACAATCCTCTTCCTTGGTCAAAGACATACACATACAGATGTCATTTCCTCAGTCCATGGTCCATCATTGCAGGATGTATCATGAGTTGACTTGGTCCATAGCTTCAGGTTCCATCTGTCATAACAGCCCCTTCAGGCAGGAGGAGCAATGCTCAGTCAGTAGGGCAGAGGTGTCCTTGGACCTGGCAGGAGGATGGCATGCAGTCTCTGTTGCAGCTGGAGCTGGTGGCTGATGCATCTGATGGTGTCTGTATTCACAGTCTGCGGCAGTCGCTGGGCATCAGTTGCTGGAACCAGTCCTATTTTCATCCAAGTTCATGTTTGCCATAACAAAACATTGGTAGGGTGGTGTGGTGACTAATCTAATACAGCTTATTGGCTATTTTCACCTAACATTAAGTCCCCTTGAGGTACACATCGGAATTCCCCGTCCTTCTGCATTACCCACCAAGTGCACCCGGGTCCTTGGGCAAAGGTAATCCCACGTATGGGCTTACCTTTACCTGAAGGAGGTATAACCCAGACGGTCTTCCCCAGCATGTTTTTAGGGTGCACTACCAGGACTCTGTCTCCATCTACAATATGCAGAATGTTTGACTGCGCAGGGCCAGCCTGGTTGTCAGATCCTCTAGTATTGACTAACCAGGTGACCTTTGCTAAATGTGTGTCCCAATGCTTAAAAGTTCCTCCTCCCATTGCTCTCAGCATGGTCTTTAGTAGCCCATTATACCGCTCAATTTCCCAGAGGCTGGGGCATGATAGGGGATATGATATACCCACTCAATGCCATGTTCTTTTCCCCAGGTGTTTATAAGATTATTTCGAAAATGAGTACCATTATCTGACTCAATTCTATCTGGGGTGCCATGCCGCCACAGTACTTGTTTTTCAAGTCCCAGAATAGTGTTCCGAGCAGTAGCATGGGGCACAGCATATGTTTCCAGCCATCCAGTAGTTGCTTCTACCATTGTGAGCACATAACGCTTACCATGCCGAGTTTGTGGGAGCGTGATGTAATCAATCTGCCAGGCTTCCCCATATCTATACTTTAACCATCTCCCTCCATACCAAAGAGGTTTTAACCGCTTGGCCTGCCTGATATAAGCACATGTCTCACATTCATGGATAACCTGTGATAT